TTAAACAGAACGGATAGTTCAATTAAAGTTTATACATTTACAAATAATGAACATCAGGGTTTTTAATGATATACAGAGCTTGCTCATTTTCAATTGAATGTCATTGCAATGAATTTGAAAACGTAATACATTGTATATCATGGTAAGGTTTGTAATTTTCTTTGTAGTGGACCATTCTTTTATAATGGCAAAGAAAGATGGCTCAAATGCATTTACATTCTTTGCCAAAACAGAGGACACAAGGGCTAAATGGATCGATGCAATAAAACTGGCATTGTATGTATTTAAAGACCACTTATCTTTAAAAAAATCAGCAGATTGTTTTTAGGTGCAGTTTATATCTCAACATTTTGATTCATTAATACTAAAAGTATGGTTTAATTTTGAGATCTGGATAATAGTAATGTGTCAAGAAATTAACCATTTTCTAGATCCCCTCTTTTTTAAATATCTGTTAATGAAAACATAATTATTTACAAATTATGTAAAATGATGCAATTAAAAGGTAGGGACCACTTTTAAACTTTTAAAATTGGACCAATTTAATTTAATTTTTTTGAAATGTTTTTAAATATATTGTAATATTATAAAGAAAATATTAACTTCAAATCTTGTGTCCAAGTACCTTAATAAAATGCAAATTGTGCTTGCTGCAGGTAAATTAAAACTAAAAAGATAGTAACATGTTATTACATGTATCTCTTGCTTAATTATGGATTTGATTTTTTTATTAATAAAGTATTTAGAGCACTTTTAAATGCTAATTAATCATTGATTAGATTATTGTTTGGCAAAATAAATGACCTCTTTAGCAAATACAGTGTCCTTCAGATACCCGGGACGCCAGATATCTGGATTTTTAAATGCTATTTTGTCTTGTTTAACTGGTAATTCAATCAGATACCCGGATGCTTCACATATCCGGACAAATTGACTAGAAACCAAAGCGTCCGGATAAATGAGGGTCCACTGTACATGTATGCCCCATCATTGGGACATATTTTGGCTGATGTTTCATACCATTTGATAAGCCTTTGTTTTTATACTAATTCAACTAAGAGATGTTCTGTGTACCTGATCATTACATATGGCTCATGGCTGTTGTGACCGGTCAATGGGGGGAAACTTAATCCTCCTTGGCACCTGATCCCACCTCTGAAATATCCAGGGTCCATTTTTTGCCCTGTTTCAGATTTTTTAGATTTATCACATTTCATTTTATTTGCCTTTGGCATGTTAACTAGGAAAAAGATTTCCCCTAAGAAAATTCCCTTTTCTTTTGCTCTTGTATCAAAGAAAGTTGTGGGAAAAATTTAAATTGTTCAGAAATATGTGAACAATTTCTTCCAATTTCAGAGAGAATGCTTCCCCTCCCAAGGGATAAATTATGTGATGCACACGTTTGATAAGCCTACGGAATGTAGTGTGTGTCATAAACTTCTGAGGTAAAAATCCTAGACAGCAAATTAACCGTATACTTAGATCTCTATACAATTTGTCTAAGAGCTATTCATAACTGGTCAAAACAGTTATTATTTTAAATAATAATCATAAAGCTGTATACTGGAATTAATAGGGACAAAAGGCTTTTGTAATGTTTACTTTTAATGACTTATGTCTGTTTTATATGTATATTTTTGATCACTTTTTTCAGAGGTGTGTTTTTCCAGGGTTACAAGTGTACAGGTATGATTTCTTTGTTTTGTCAAGAGTTTAAGATTAAAAGTTTTTTCATATCCCAATGATCCCTGTGATGAAGATAGATCTTTAATAATTGATTTAATAAGATATCATGAATTATCATTATTCAATTCAAGGAAAATAATCTTTCTAATTAAACAATCTACCAGCAGTACATGAGAGAATTGTCATAGTTTACCTCATAAGTATTGTTTGTGTTTTCAGACCCAGGAAGTGATATTGCTGTGCATAAGGAATGTATTGGCAAACCTCCAAATACAGGCAGTAGAGGTAAGATACTAATTTTCATGGGGGTTCAATTTTGTTGTTTTAGAAGTATGGAGTATAGAATTCATGACCATCGCAAAATATCAAATTTAATATGCATTACTACTCAACACTTCTCCTATCACAAAATCAAATCCCCACATATAATACCTCAAAATTTGCTTTCACAAAACAATATGATTTTACGTATGTTAATTGACCATAATGATTACATGTATATTTTATTGCCTTATTAATGAATCTTACAGGAAATAAGACACCAAAAAAGGGACTTAAGAACGATTTGGAGAACACTCTAACTGACCCCATAACTAATAAAACTAGTTTGAGTTGATTTTGATGTACTGTAGATCACTAAATTATTGCAACACCTTATTTTCACGAGATAGTCATCGACTCTTGATGAGCGAGACAAAATTTTCACGAATTGTGGTTATTGCTTTATATAATCTTAAGGAATACTATTATACGCGAGAATATAATTTTCGCGAGCACACTGTCTCGCGTAAATTAAAGTTCTCGCGAATAAAAAGTGATTTACAGTATATAATATTCTTTTTTTATTTTTCATGCCACCCATTCCAGCTCGAGTGATAGGTAAGTTAAGCATATGATGGTTTCTCCCCCAATCTTTATTGTTGTTGAGTGTTATCACTTGCAAGCATGCTACACACAGGACATGATTTTTCCCTCAGGATATGTTACATATTACAAAGAAACACTCAAAGGGCAAATCCTGCACATGATTTAAAAAAAAACATCTAGATTGCCAATTCATATTATCTTACCTAAACATCTATTACGCATTTTATCCAAGCTTCTCCTATTACAATGTACACACACTGCAAAATTGAGCATAAACTTGTCATTGTAGTCCTTATTTCTATGCTAGAACAATTCATTATGCTTGGTTTGTGCAGAAACATTTAGAACTTTGGATGTGGTTCATGAACGCCGTAATCGTATATAGGGAAAGTAGTTCAATATCACGCTTTGAAGTAGACGAACCACTAGTATTATTTTTAACGTAAGTCAATTTATTGCATGACTGAATGCATGATCATATAAGAAGTTCTGGGAATGTGATTTTTATGTCTTTTTCAGAATCTCTCTGGTTCATTTAAAATGGCTTGTTTGTACTCAGTTTGGGAGACTGTGTCTGTTACTGCATGTCACTAAGATACTATGTTCATTAAGTTCTACATTTCTGTTTTATAGAGGGCTTAATGCAGATATTGGTGATATATGAACATAAACTGTAGAATGTTTGGTGAATGAATTTTTTTCTGTAGGAATTAAATTTCTTGTTTCCTTTTGATCTGGTTTTATCAGCCTCAGGAGAAGATTGAGATCTTTGTCTCTATGAAATTAACCAAAGCAATACAGCTTTTCTTTATAGATAAACTTGACACCCTCCTAATTATAAAGCATGATTTCATGGACAGTATTTTTCACTTCATGAATATTTAAAAATTTAAAAAAAATATTTATATTTCAAGAATATTGCAATAACTCTACTGCATCAAATGTAAAAATTTTTTTTATTTTCTTGTATATTACTGTAGATTATTTATAGATTATTCATTGTCATTAAAAATGGAATTATGATGTTACCAATAATATTTTTCTTGTTGATTGTAACATTCTTTCAGAATATTTTTTACAGATATATGAGAAAAATCTTCACATTTTTAAACATGAAGTTTCAGAATTGTTCATATTCTGCATAACAAGCTAGCTGTACATTTTTTGTCATTTTCCACATTTGTCTTTCTACTGAGTTTTTTGTTCATACATTTGACTTTATCCACTCCATTACACATTGTAGGGAGGTCACCCACTCATGTTCAGCATAAAAGTTTTCTTCCACGTTTCTTCCCTCCATCTTCCCTGCAAATGTAGCTTTCTTTAAATGTTAAAAGTCCTAGTAGGGTTTGGTTTGAGAAAAACCCCAGTATGTTCCTGGTTTAAGGATTTAATGTTTGTACAGTTTGTTTATTTCTTGTGATTTGGAACCATTGTCGGAAACAGAAAACTGTTTAGTATTATGTGTAACAACTGGATGATAGGAAAGATTAAATTAAAAAAAATAATATTTCTTTCATATTTCAGGAATACCTAGTGTTAAATTTGTCAATTTTTTAGTACATGTACTGGTACATTTAAAACAAAATATAACTTTTGTTAGATTTATTTCATTTACTGAAAAGTTTTATGAAAATCGGTACACTGACTTTTTTTCTTGAAATTTTGGGACAGTTTTTGATCTAAGATTTCTTACATATACAGAAGTTAGTTCTCTAAGTATTTATCAATGTAAATTACTTTATGAATGATTTAAAATCACACAACATAATACAGTATTTATGATGCTTATTTACTAAACAACTTAAAGAATACAATGTACTACATAAAACTCTCCAAAAACTTATTTGCCAAATCATATTTTTTTATTGAGTATAAGTTCATGCTTTTGAATGCATGTCATTAAATCATCTTTTCCAGCACATTGTATATCAAGTTTTACGTTATTCAGTTGTTTTTTTATTTGCAATGATTGATATAAAATTTACATCCATATTACAAATTCTCTTACAGTTTCTTATCTTTACACTTTGCATTAAAACACCAGCTTCATTAGTTCCAATTTTCATCACTCATGCTTTCTTCTCTTTTGTTAATACATTATTTTTATGACAAATTACTTAAAACTTTTTCTGTCTGTCTGTAACCAGATTTCACAGGTTGTTTCTTAGATGGAGGTCTTGTGAAAGCTCTGAACTTAACGCATTAACTTTTTTTGTTTTGAATGGAATGCAACCTCTCATATATACATGTATTCCCTCAGTAGATGTCTTAATTGTACACATTGACTTACAGTGTTTAATTGTAAATATACGTGACTTTACAGGGCGGGTTGAGCCTATGTAATTACAATGGCACTCCAGCCCCGGGACCGCCCAGCCTTGAGCTTTCAGAAAGACGAGGGAAAAAGCACAAAACAATGACGCTCAGTGGTGGAAAGTAAGTGTTTACAGCAGAGAGACTATACCAAAAAAAAGATCCTATAGTTAATTTCAGAAACTAAATGGCTGTAGATACTTTCTACGTAATTTAACAGAACATGGAGAAGAACACATTAATTGCTATATGTAAGCTGTTGAAGAATCAGTATCATTGGTAACATCTTTTTACAATTTTAGGGACTGCTGAATGGAGATGAGGGCTGGTTCCCTTCACAACTTGTGCAAGAGGAAAATAATCCAAGGGTAAGATGTCATGTTCTGTAATGATAAAACATCTGTCAATCTAATAACTCGGTGTCTGGAGTTAGAATTTGTATTATTATGCTGTATTATTTTTTTTTATAACAAAGAACCCAAATACTTTGCTGACTTTGTTTTTGAAACAGAAAATAAAGCATATGATGGTAATGCAGTTTTAGGTCATTTTCAAATAGAAATTTTTGAGAAAGCATGAAGCTTAAACAGATTCCCCCCCCCCCATTTTAGCATGTGAATTATTTGTATAAATCAACATTTTACAGACATAACTTGAAAAACACTTATCCAACAACCAACTATTCCCCTGTTATTCTCTGTGAGAATCCGTTAAAAAGGCTACAGAATGAGCTTTATGTACCCCCAGTTTTGTTCTGAATGACAGTGATTTGTGTGGTTTTGGATAAGCTGTGATTTATTGAATTGCTGCTGAGATTTCGTATGAATGTCAACTGCAGGTCGAGCTTGTATATGTTGATTGGCTTGTTATATATGAATGTGATCTACATGTTTGTAACCAGCTCTTTATTGTCATCAATCCCAAAAACCCCCTATTTGGATGTGAAAATGAAGAATGGAACGCCCAGTATTGTATCCCCTCCCCGCCCCCACTCCCCCGCTAAAAATTTCCCCATGTTAATGTGGATAGCGATGGAATGTCCAGTCAGCTCAATGTCTATAAATGGTATGTCAGCCATTCTATGTTGTGATGAACCAGGGAAGTTTAATATTTAAGTATGATTATACTGGAATCAAAGTTATCCATTACGTCGATTGTCGTTACAAATAAAATTAATCTTTTTTAAAGTAAATTTCTGTAAAATAACATTGAAATAGTAAGATTTTATGCTTTATTGTATTTAGGTTTGTGGGTCCAATGGACAGGACACTGCCAATCGCAGACTTGGCAACATGCCAAACGGGACATTCTTAATTCGAGTCAGCGAGAACCCAGGCAGGAGAGGGGAAACCCCTTTTATATTCGGTAAAAACAGTTTAAATTATCAGATACATCTGCCTGTATTTACTAAAAGGGTTTAGACTGTAACCTTTAAATTTTATTTTATGTAAGAAACACACAATTCCACCATCTGGTTTCTATTTGGGTACTGTATGGGGGAAAATAGCTCGCGATGTTAATATTCGCATATTCACGGTGTTAATGAATCCGTGAATTCAAGAAACAGTGAATAAGTTTTAATAGGTATAGATAAGGGAGGAAACTTTTAATATATACAAATTCCGTGAATTAAAAAACCGTATTTGCCAAAGAAGAGAAAAACGTAAAAATTTCAACCCGTGAAATTTATCCCCTATACAGTAATTGAAATGTCAAAATGTCCCTGTTTTAAAATACATCTAAATATTACAATTTTTTAGGATTTCTGGAGAAATTTTAAAAATGATACTTTAATTTTTAAAAAAAAAAATTATTAATAGCATTTTTTTAATAATGTTTTGTTCATAATGAATCAACACACATAATAAAGAAATCAATCTACCAATTAATGAAATTATGCAATGGAAACCCCAGTTGGCCCCCTTTAAAGTGGTGTGAATAACTACAGTGCAAAGGCGGCTGCATTTCATTTCCGGAAAGTTTGGTAATTATCAACTTTTCATTTCCGACATTTTTTTGTTTTCATTTCCGACATTTTTCAGATACATATGTAGTAATTTTAATAACAAACTAAAACTTTCTTTTTAAAAATTTTAAAAAAAAAATCTTAAATAAATCTTTGAAATCCATTACCGAGTTTTGTAAATCTATCAATGACTTGGACATAAGTGTGGTGTTGTCACTGACATTTAATTTAGTGCACTTTAGATGTGGTGAAAAAATGCTCATTGAATTCTTTTACCTAGACTTAGTGCTACATGTATGCATATATATGTAATTTTTTGCTCTTTTAGCCAAAGGCTCAAAGAGCTAATGCTATGGCCATTTGTGCGGTGTGCGTCTGGGTGTGCGTTAACTTTTTAGAATATGGGCCATAATCAAGAACCCCTTTGGGCCCAAACAGTGTCAAATTTGTCACAGGGATCCCTTTGGGCCCCAAAGGGGTACCATTTATACTAAAATAAGGGTTGGGACCCTAAAACAAGGGAGATAATTAGGAAAACAAAACCAAAAGTACTGGTTGCTAAAAAATCTTCTTCTCCAGGACCACCAGGCAGATTTTCACCAAACTTACACACAAGGATCAGGATATGTTGAAGACTAAAAATTGTTCTAGGCATGACCCTGGGGCAAAGGGCGTGGTCTCAAGGTCACTTCAAGGTTGACCTAATTTTACAATTAATAAAAATGTTTACATTTTGCTTACTATAAGGACTAGGATCATCAAATCTTGTAAGTTGATGCATCTTAGGTTCACATCATGTTAAAAAAGTAGGTCACGGTGACCTACTTTTTTTAATTTTGCGGGCATTTGTTTTCAAATTTATTTTAAGGCATATTTTGGACACGTTTAGGCCTATGGTCATCAAACTTAGTCAGTTGATGCATCTTGGGTCTTTGAACAACGTCAACTTAAAAGTAGGTCACTGTGACCTACTTTTTGAACTTTATGACTTATCCTTTATAAAACATTTAATCCCATTATTTCAGGCACTGAAAGGGTTAGAATCATTAAATCTTGTAAGTTGCTGCATCTTGGGACCTTAAAACATATTTAAAAAAAAGTAGGTCACTGTGACCTATTTTTAGAATTTTGCAGGCATATGTTTTAAAATATTGTTTAAAAGGCATATTTTGATTACCTTCAGACCTACGATCATCAAACTTGGTCAGGAGATGCATCTTGGGACTCTAAAATGTGACCAAAATGTAGGTCACGGTGACCTACTTTTGACATTTTATGGCTAGTTTTAAGTATCTTAGGTATTTATTGGTTAGAATCATCAAACTTTGTGAGTTGATGGATTTTGGGTTTTCGAAGAGTGACGACCAAAAATTAGGTCATGGTGACCACTTTCGACATTTTATGGCTATATTTCAGTATCTTAGGTATTTATTGGCTTAGAATCATCAAACTTTGTGAGTTGATGGATTTTAGGTTTTCGGAGAGTGTCCACCAAAAATTAGGTCACGGTGACCTACTTTTGACATTTTTTGGTATATTTAAGTATTTCCGGTACTTTTGGTTTAGAATATCATACTTTGTTAGTTGATGCATCTTAGTTTTCCAAAAATGTCAAAAAAAAAGTAGGTCTGGTGACCTCTTTTGAATATCTCAGGTATTTATTGGCATAGAATTATCAAACTTGGTAGCAGATGCATCTTGGGACTCAAAAAAGTCAACCAAAATGTAGGTCACGATGACCTACTTTTGACATTTCGCGGCTATTTTTAAGTAATGTATCTCCAGTATTATTGGCTTAGAATCATCAAACTTTGTCAGTTGATGCATCTTCGGTTTTCCAAGAATGACAACCAAAAAGTAGGTCACAGTGACCTACTTTTGACATTTTATGGCTATATTTAAGTATCTCCGGTACTTATTGGTTTAGAATCATCATACTTTGTCAGTTAATGCATCTTGGGTTTTGCGAGAATGTCGCCCAAAAAGTAGGTCACAGGACCTACTTTTGAATATCTCAGGTATTTATTGGCTTAGAATTATCAAACTTAGTCAGCAGATGCATCTTGGGACTCTAAAAATGTTGACTAAAATGTAGGTCACGATGACCTACTTTCGACATTTTATGGCTATTTTTAATTATCTTAGGTATTTATTGGCTTAGAATAATCAAACTTTGTCAGGTGGTGAAACTTTGGTCTTAGGATACTTAGGGTTAGAGGCTTCAAATAAAAGTGATAGGTTGTACAATTTATCAGAAGAGCGATTCAAGGCCCTTGGGCCTCTTGTTTTTTATTATTATTATTATTTTATCAATATTTTGTAATAAATACTTTTAAAATTCCATTTTCACTTACTTGGAAAACATTAAATTGCCACACAGGTAAATACCGGAAATGAAAACAAAATTATGTTAGAAATGAAATTTAAAAATGTCGGAAATGAAATAAAAAAATGTCGGAAATGCTATGCTTAATTTCGGAAATGAAATGCAGCGGCAAAGGCTAGCATCATTTGAGTGTCCCGGGGGGGGGGGGGGGGGGCAATTTTATACATTTAGATATTTTTAGTTTATATAAATTATGAAAAAAAAATGTTTCTAGAGAAGGAGATGATAGATGGTAATGTTGTATTTAAATTTGTACATAAGAATTAATGTATAAAGTTTATTTGTTTTAGATATGCAGAAATATTTTTCAGTTGTATTGTTTGTCTTGCTGTATAGCAGAGTGATGTTAATTATTAATGTTAATAATTAGTTTATATCCACATTTTTCATTTGATGTATTTATTTGATAATATTTTGTTTTGATTGACATTTCATGTTATTTCTTCTTATATGCCTTTGTTGGTATTTTTCTTTAAAAAAAAATTTTTATTTGTTTTTATAAATGAAATTTATCTCTCAGTGAAAACAAGTTTGGAATGTTGAAAAATGACTATTGCTTGCAAGTATTATTAACAAATTTAGGACCTTTTTGTTGTACAAAGATTGAGATTAGAGATTGTGACCTAAAAAAAAACTAAGTGCTCTTTTCAAACACTTAACTTAGAATGTTAAATTAGACATGTAAAAAAAAAATTTTAGTATTGATGGTTATTATGCATGATTGTAAATAACAGTTTCCAACATGTTTAAAAGTTTGAATCTTGCATGTGACTATACGGTTATATCCAGCTATTCTGCATGTCCTTCGTATTGTAGGTATGATAACCAGGTTCGTCACATCAGAGTGGAGAAGAATGCAGAAGGCTTGTTTTATTTAGCTGATACTAAATTCTTTTCTTCTCTACCTGTGAGTATATTGGCATGCTCAAGGCTGTCCTTATAGGTTGTCTTAGTTCTGAAGGCAAAATCAAACGGGGGATCCATAGCACACAAATCCCACCACACATTTATAATTAAAAAAAAGCAATTAAACAAAAAAAACCTAAAAGTTTCTGGAAGTCTGTCTTGCTATGGATGGTCCCTGTTTCCTTTCATACCCACATTCTTTATGTCTACTGCTAGATGTGTAAGTACAAGTATAGAGAGAAGTAACCCTTTATACCAGTTTCTCAGCTAGTATCTTGTCATGTGATTTAGTCATATGACTTCATATGACTGCATGCAGACCCCTTTATCCCACAAAGATGCAGGTAAATTTTTTATTTTAATGCCTCCCACATTTGATTTTAAAAATAATTCTGTACAGCATTTAAAAATTTCGCAAGGATGAAGAGGGTTTCTATAGATTAAGTATGGAAAAGGGGTTCAAAACGGTGAAGGTGGACATACCTAAAATTAACAGCAGATGTAAAACTACCATATTTAATTTAGATGGAACTTAATGAACTTATTATTTTGATATTTTTTAATATTTCATTCTCCCCAAAAAATGTATCTGTTTGTCTGTTTGATCATTGACTTTGTTTCTGATTGTGGAATCCTTTTACAGGAATTAGTGGAGTTCTATCAGGATAACTCACTAGCAGATGGGTTTTCCCGGGGTGGTAAAAACCAAAAATTTCCTTTCAAATCTCAGGCTGGAGGAGGGGAGAAGTCAAGAAAAGAATTACTGTAAATCACTTCTTATTCACGAGAACTCTTTTTTGAAATAATTACGGTAGGCAAAAGTGACCTTTAAACTAAAGTTCTTATGTATATTAGTATTTCCCCAAAAAGAATATAAAAGCAGTAATCACAATTATTGAAAATTTTGTCTCCCTTTTAAAAAGCCATTAATGACTATCTTATGAAAATAAGGTGTCACGAAAAATTAAGTGATTACAGTAATCTAAGTTATTTTGTTTTCTAATCTTGGGACTTCTAACCAAAGTAATCTTATAATGTCTGTTTTTCAGATGCAAAGGATTTGGGCTACGCAAAGCGGTGTACGATTAACCCGGGCCCTTTTTACGTCTCAGCTGTCCTTGTGTCGCGGAGACAAAGTGGCCATCCTCAGTAAAACAGGAAGTGATAAAGGCTGGTGGAAGGGAGAGCACTGCGTCACAGGAAAGGTTGGCCAATTTTCTTCATTTTTCTTTAGTATTATCTAAATTTAAATCAGCATAAGCCAGAATAGATTAAATCTTTTAAAAAATATTTGATTTAAAAATTCTTGTGATGTAAAATCTAAAGTGCACAGTTTTAATGATTTTTGGTTTTTTTTTTCCCCCAGAATGGTTACTTCCCGTTAGCGTATGTAAGAGAGCTGGATGATGACTGATCCTTAGTGAATGCTTATAATCATATGCAAGACCTCCACTCACCACTGCATTGCCAGTTTTGTTAACCAGGGACCAAAGAATATCGGCCAATAGGAAACCTTTTCCATATACAGCAAGTGCAAGTCAGAGATGACGGGAATTTTCTGCCCACAGAATTTCTCCGTTGCCTGCCTCCCCATTGAGCTCCAGAGAAGATTCCCTATTTGCTCTCCATGATTTTACATATATATATGTACTTGCATTATTTTTTTCAAAGGTCCCATTCTCATTTGATGGAATTTAACAGATTCCATTGATAATGTGATTTCCATTGGGGATTTTTCTTGTTCTCTGTGATATTTATAGCAATTAATTAACACTGACTCATCACCCTGACAGTATTGTGGACAACATGCAGCATAATCACCATGTATAACAGTATATTATATATAATAGCCCCACCCCTTTAGCCTGAGCTTTTTACTACTAGCATTATTTGCCTCCAGTGTTCCTTTTTCAGGAAACAAACTTCAATGTTATTTCCCTAAAAAAAGGAACCTTTTGGAATTGGAATCCTTTACCTGTACTTAAATTAAAAAATACTTAAAATTATTTGAAATATATTATAACTGGAAAACAACAAGGTATTTATAATTTAAAAAAATGATGTTTTATTTATAACACAGAAAAGTGCAAAATATATATTGCCAAACTTTATTCAGAAAACAAAAAAAAATTCCCATTAAATCCCTTGATATTTATGATACACCTGTGTATGAAGTTTTGAATTATTAAACAATAATATATATCCCTCTGTTATTTCACAAATGCTATGATTATTTTCTTTCCTTTTGATTAGGTTTGTAATTTTCAGTATGACATTTTAATATCCAGGCCAAAATATGACATAAAGACAACTCCCCTCATATTAAGCTTGTTACATTTACATCCATATATATGTAAACTATGGGGACCAATCTTCAACACCGAGTCCAGCATTGACTTTCCACTTCACTGCATTTAATGAAAAATGAACCTGTATTATAAAGTTAATTTTCTAACATTTTGCACATTTTCCCTTTTTTAAATAGAAAAAAAAAACATTAATATAACTGACTTGAAGCACATAAACGCTATGCATTTATATTTCTTTACTTTTCATTATTGCTCACAGTGGATGCTTTTGATTTATATAAACCTAGGAATAAGTTTAAATGACTCCCTTTTTCCCTTTTAAACAGGCCCCTTTCATATATGTGTATATTAAGTCAGACAGGTATCATTGTAGCTCATTATCGTAATAAGCTGGGATGATTTGTTGAAAAGATTGCTTTTTCTTGAACTCAGAAAAAAAAATTTAAAAACACTAGATTTCCTCATGATTTTGGGGGTATGTTGAATTAATACATGCTGTGATTAGTAATGTTGAACTGTAGCAAATGAGAAAGCATAAAAAAGTTTTTTTTTTAAATTTTTAAAAAAAGGGGAAAACTTTACAGGTTTTAATATCAAATAACTATTAATTAAAGTTGCTATATTTTTTACCCAATGCCCTTTTTGTTTTAACTTTTTTAAATTTTTTTTTTCTTTCCTTGAACCACTGAACTATTTTTTCATAGATCATATAAAATAAAAGGGGGGAAAAAAATCTAATTTAAATCTCTCCCCCTACCTCCTTTTTTGGACTAAGAGGGGGGGCTTAAATTACAAAAAATTGGTGTTATCTTTAATTAAATAGCATGTTCACTCCTGGACATAAAGTATTTTTAAAAAAATGGTTGGCATTATTTAATAAGCATTTCTTTACCAAAATCAAAGGGTCAGGGGTTAAAAAAAATATGGTAAAATTTTGTAACAATTTGATATGTATGCATTCAAATTCCATGTTGCAATGAAATCATAAACATATGGAGATGACAAACAGTTTTCCCAAGTCAAAACCCATAAAAACAATACAAAATAAAAAACAGAGCAAACATGGACCTCCAAAACATAGAGGGGGGATCAGATGCAATGGAGGAGTGAGCATCCCCTGAATGGTCACACCCGCCATGTGCTTGTCATGATTGGGAAATGGGAAAACCCTTCCCAATCAGTGAAAAAAATAATGGACTTACAATAAGTATGAAAAATTTTAGCCCATGACTTTTAAATCGATGAAATTTTGTATTTGCGGGAAAAGGGTTTTTGTATTGACCATAGAACTTATGAAGTAATAAATTTTTAAAAAAAAGTTTTGCTGATTTTCTTTTTCATCAACTTGTTTGTCAATAATTTGCCTCGTTTTAGAAATTGTTCATATGTAGAGCATGCTTTTTGGGTCTGGAATAACTGAGATACATAAATCTTTATGTAAGTGATGAAGGTATATTGCTGCATAAATAAGGGAAGTTAAATAGAAAAGTTAAAGTCATCACGTTTTTCATGAGCTTGGTTGTTAAATTCCCAATTAACGTCTTTTTCAAGTAAAATACTCGTTTGAACAGATGTGTCAACTTTGTGGCATTTTTTATCTGAAGCTTACCCGGAAAATCGTATCAACTAGGGAAAGGAAATTACCATTGTAAAATGACAATAGTTCAATTTTTCTTAAATATTGAATTTTAAGGCCACACAAATGTTTTCTTCTTTTCTATGTTGTTTTTTGAGCCAGATTTCCAACAATCTTTTAAAACCCCCTGGTTATCAATTCCCCCTTATGAGCAACCTATTTTTGTATTCATATGAAGCAGAATGTGCAAAATCGCATGTATTTAAAAAAAGAAACTGACGTTTTTCATCTAATTTTGTATTATTTATTCCCTTTAATTGACGGATTTTTCCGTTATTTCCCGATCATAAAAAGGGCCCACGGCGGGGGGACCGGTGGGGAAGGGGGTGCTCCTTTCCCCCATGGCACCCGATCCCCCCTCTGTTTTGGAGGTCCCCTGTTTGCTCTGCTTTCCCATTTTGTATTGTTTTATGGACTTTTGATTTTTCCCCTGTTTGGGTTTTCGCCATATATTTTATTTCACGCATAAGATTTAGCACAAATTCTGATTCATTTGAATACAATATATTTTTAATAAAATGGGCGGGCCCAATGTGGGGGCCCCCTGGGGGGAAATTCCCAAAAAATTGTTGATAAAATTTCCCAAAAACAACATAGATATTTCAATAGAAAATTTAACATTTTTTTATGTCAAAATTTAGAGTACTTGACAGTTTTGTGTACAATAAAAAATTTTCGCCGTAAATTTCGCATTTTTTGCATTACGGGGGTCTGAAGCGTTATGGCCAAGGACTAATATATAAAACCATAACGCTTACAGTTCTCCAGCCTTTTGTAAACAATGCTTTAAAAGACAGATGTCCCATTTTTTTTTTGAAGGGGCTACAATTCTGCAGCTAAGTGTAACGGAAAAAGAAAGAAAAATAAAAATTTTCTCCCCCATCTTCTAATCTTCATTATCTTAGTTTGATTTTTTGGATTTTTTGGGAAAAAAATTTGGGAAAACCTTCAATGTAAATCACATTTAATATTAATTCAGACAGATTTTTTTTGCACAAACGAAGCATTCGGAAAATTTTTTGCAAATTTTTTATTTAAAACCACGGACTATTGATATGCCTGTGTAATATATAGTCCCCAATGTGGGGGCAAAATTTAAAGGGTGATGTATGTTCTTTGGACTATACAACAAATGACCCCCCAAAATTTTAAACAGAAAAGGTAAACAGCAATACATCCACACGATGAAAATCGCAGGTAATTGCTTTGAATACCGCTATATGATAAAAAAATCATAGTATTTTTTCATTCAAAATTTCTTAAAAAACTTCTGATTTCAGAATTTCATAGAAAACAATTCACTAACCATAACAGATGAAGCAAAGCGATGTTTCCCCTTTAGGATGGATGTATTTTGTAAGGTATTACCCGGTACTTCGTAGAGCCTCCGTTCATCAAATGAGGATTTAAAAAAAATACTAGTTAAAAGAAAAAAAAATAAAAAAATTCATTCATAAAAACAGACAGTAGTATTTCAACTGTTTTAAAAAAACGAGAAAACTTTCAATTACATCTAATTTCATTGCCAAGATGTTTAAAGATTTGATTTCAGAGGTTTCTTTTAAATAAGGCAGAACTGCTAAAAGTGGAGAAAACCTGGGAAAAACCCCGAACTTCTAAAACACCAGTATAGTACGTTTGTCTAATCATTTTGGAACGCCGTCACTGCCTTATAGCAGAACACTAAATTGGGGGTTTGGGCAACTTTCCATTACATTATATCAACTCTTTATGACATTTACACACACTACTATTGCGTTATGTCAACTTTCTATTACATTATGTCAACTCTTTATGAATTTACTCACACTACTATTACATTGTCCCAATTTTTCCCGTTGCTTATATCAGCTCTTTATGATAAAGTCAAAACAATTTTACTGGTGTAAAATGTTTTTATATAATTTAACTCATTATTACATTAATGCACTTCTGCTTTTTGGTTAAGTAGTTTTCATGATGTGAACTTATTTTAATTAAATATCAACGCATAACTGATTCAGAATTTTATTACATGATGCGAAAAAAATTTGTCCTGGAATTCTTTACTACATTTGTCATAATATGGTAATGACAACGGGAATCTATTACATTATGTAATTTTCCCTTCTTTTTGACAAATATTATATGTTATGCCATTGTAT